GCCCGACTGGTTGAATTTCTTCCTCGCGGTTGACATATTGTCCTTTCCCAACAATTCCGGATGGTTATGCCAACTTCACTTTGCCAACCGCTTGTTGGTTTCAGACTGTAGCTGGCGTGCAAGCCTTGGAGCTCGCGTACGTGGGCGTGCGCTGGTGGCGCTAGTAACGCGGCGCTACGCCAGCTAAGGCGTGCGACACGTGCTGGGTGACGTGACGCAACTGGTCAGCACGTCACCGTCCCAGGCGTCTCGTTCCTTTCCGTTGAGGTTTTGGTTACCTTTGAGTTCACTTTCATGTCACTGTCTATCTCGTCATTTACGGGGGATAGTTCAGATGAGGGTGCTGCCAACAGAGGCCGATAGATTTTGTGTCCAAAATGTTATCTACTTCCAGCCGGGACTTCGTCAACCGATTGAGTCTTTGTCGTGCAGTTCGTTTTTGGATGTTGCTTTTTACCCATTGAAATTTGATGTGTCTTCCCTGATGATGGTTGATTTCAGTGCTTCATTGTCGTTGCCATTTTCGCTACTTCAGTAATTTCGAGTTTACAAGATTTCAATAATTGTGTGTTTCCTGACAAATTCATCACCCCTAACCAGGAGCCCGTTCAAGTGCTCAACCTTTCCGAGTTCCGACTCTTATTAACTAGCTCCGAGTTCCGAGTCCCCCGAATCCGAGTGCATCTCTGTTCGAGTGCAACAGCTCGGGATTTCCGAGTCGGAAAGGAGAGTATTCCAAGATGACTGGCCAGGCAACGAATACTACGACCCTAGGACAATAACAGTAAGCGCACTACCTGCACTTAAATTCTGCACGAATACCACACTATGCTCAGCACAGTAATCGATATAGCTCATTCGCTATAAAGAGGAAGGCGAATGAGATAACAAGGGTGCAGGCAAACTGGACCCACAACACGCGTCGCGACACCAAATCACGTGTGCATTACACGTGACTTGGTGACGCAGCGTCACCACCGCTTAATTGAGCGTCAGTGACGCCCAATCAAGTCGCCGGGTAATTGACGGACATCGTCAAATGATGTTGAAAGTAGCTCCGTCGAATCGACAGTGCCGATAGTTAGTACCACTAGGCTTTCTCGACGGAGTGGCAGGACTCGCTAGATGCCGCGTGTTCAGCGTCGCTATGGTCCCGCTCACTCCATAACTATCATCCCTTGATGTTTAACTTCACAGATAACGTCGTTTTCAACAACCATTCGGGAGGCTCGACCTTGAGCCATTCGGTGTTGGATCGGGCTTCTCACCACGATATCAGTTATTTTACCATCCTAGATGTTCTCCCGTGCCGCCGTAGTAACTCTTCTATCTCTAGCCTACGCGGGTCGGCCATCTTGTGGACCCGATGCCTGCGTGGGCTTCATATTCACTGGTGGATTCCGCTGTGACTGGGAGACTGGGAAGTGTGCATGCGGTCCAGGGGGTCTAGCTCCGACCGACGTGAATTGCGCTTGTTGAATCAACAAGCAACAATGTTGATAAGACATCGAGTTGAGTGAGATATGATGTAACCTATCATTACAACTTTCTCGATGAGTGCTTCATTTCTGCTGTCTTGACCCTGTTCGTTCGAGAGCCACCACCTCACCGTTCTCCCCTGGCAGGGGACCCCTGCGGGTGTGGTAGCTCTTTTATTCTTGATCCAGTATCTGATGTTTCCGCATCAGATTGGTTGATACCGACTGCGCCTCACAGAACATGATCTCAGCACCTCACAGAGCTGGATGGAAACCATTTTTCTTGGTAGTGCTCTTACGAGGACGTTAACTTCACGCATGAGCACTGCACCTGGTGGTGAGCTTATTTAGTCAAGTAGTATAGTAGTCAAGTAGTATATCCAACAAAATGATTCAGAGGTCGGTTCGAAGTCAAATATGCTGCCTATTATACACATAGAACAATGATTTTACCAAAATGTGATTACGCTGTTGTGTTCACCTAATTTGTAGCAAATCTACAAATAGAGGAGTGCTATTGAACACCAATGGGAGTCGATATGCGATTGTAAGCGCCGCGTGCAGACATGTGAGCGTATTATGTCTGTCGATGACAATTCATCATATCATAACGCCCGCGTATTATCCTGCAGACCAAATTGGGGCTGTATGACGGTCATACTATGACGATGTCTGAGATACTGTCTCAGACTCAAACACGCGCGAACATTTGCGTTGAGTGTTGGGCAACCATATGGCTGAACCGTTCCCCTGCATGATGAGAGTAGCGGGGAGCACAAGGCGAGCCGCGGTGATATTAACGCGAGCAGTGTCTCAATCGCTGAGTCGGTTTGATTTGATTCGATTTGATCCTCACGTATGTCTTCCAAAACCAATTAAAATGCTCACCTCTCCGAGTCCGAGAAGTCGGAAGAGCAGACTTCCCAGGCTCGAAAAATTTTAGTGCATTAAAGTGCTCCTACTCTCCGAGGGCCGAGTCCGAGTACTCGGAGCGACACCCGGACTTTCAAGTTCCGTCTTGGGATACCTCTACTCGAAGATTCCCATTAAAGTGTGAATAATTCGAGCTCCTAGTAGCACATTTTTCTGAAGCCCTCAAGTTCTTTGCGCGATGTGGCGGCCCATTCGCTGGCATAGACAAGAATCCACTAAGCGAGCTAAGTTGTTGCCTGAAGATCAGCCTCTGGTTCAGCAAATCACCAAAGATCTCAAGGCCTGCCCATCGAGAGAGGTCCATGACTGTCTCCTTCAGTGCGTTGTGGACGACGAGAAGTACTCCGCAAAGTTGAAGGCGGTCATCATGCAACATCGATGCACCGGAATCACCTTTCGTCTCACCTATGAACCATAACTTCTTCATAACTTCACAAGATTAGATGATAATCTGAGTGAGTCTATCCACTCAAGTTTTACACGTGCCGGTATAAATAGGGCTAGACTCAATTCAAGCGAGACTTCCTGCTCAAGCAGTCACTGCTTGAGTTTGCAATGTTTACATTATGCAAACACTGTTACAGATGTAAACATTGACTAGTAGTAGTGGACCTAGTAGTAGTGGCACTAGTAGTTGTAGTTTCAGTATCTGCAAGGGAGAAATATTGCGACAATGCGAGGAAGAATTAAGGCCTGACTTAGCATCTAGTTGTCTTCACTTAGCAGAGTACGATTGTACCCTGCCAATGCCATCAACATCGATTCATTCAGTCCCTCTTGAACTCCATCTTCTCTTCCATATCGGTGTCTCTACGACATCCTCGTCAGCATGGATGTATTGCATCGTGCCGAGGATGACAACGAGGATTCAAAAGCAGCAGAGATGATAGCCTCAGGGGGGGCTCACGGGGAATACCTGAAGCGGGACAACGATAGTTAACTGCTTCTAATAATTAGAAAATTAGAATCTAACTTGCGACCCACGTATGTGGAGAGTATATCTCCCTTCAGAGCGCACCAGGCAATGGATAGTCTCCAGATATCATGATCATACTCTTCTCTCCTTCCACCCTAGTCTAGAAAAAGTTCTCCACGCTGTTCGGAAACCCTCGAGAGGACTTGCTTTCTGGTCGGATGGTATGACAAAGGACATTGCCCGAATGATTCGCGCCTGCGGAATCAGCCAGGTGAATAAACATCATGATATTACGAACCAGGCTTCTCTCGGTTTTCGACGACGGCAAAAAAAATTCACAAGGACAGCTAGATCTTGCCGGACACTTCAGCCTCTCGAGCCAGATTGATGTGATTCCTTGGGAAACAGAATATCTGTGCCTGATGATATGCGAAGTTCGCATTGCGAATGCACCCATGTGTGCTTGGCTGTTCCTATGTGATGTGCCACTCTTATAACACAAGTATTATCCCTTATCTACTTGTCCCCATTATTGCTTAGCTCACACGAATAGCTGTAGTCTCGTCGATAATAACAGTTTCTCTTACATACCCCCTGATATTATTCCTGATGGGTTCTGAAGTATCACATCCTACCAAATGGACATCAGTGCGTGATTATATTGGATGCTTGCTCATATGGTTTGGGACATATGGTGTCCCCGAGAGCTGCTCTCGGATGTTGCATCCAACTAGATGCATGCCCAGCTCGTGATAATGCGACACTTCGTCAGTTCACCTCGTCCTGGGGGGCGAAGATAAATCTGGGTATTCCGAGGAGACCTGAATCGCAAGGCTTGATTGAACGCTTGATAAGAGATGTTAAAACTGCGATAAGGATTGGGACCAATTGTGGCGAAGTAACACTGCCCTAGTGGATCTGTGCACTCAACGCACTCACTGTTCACAACTTTTAACCTATACAAGATGGTTTGGGTTTTTCGAGATGGTTAATTGATGTCTGTACATTTTGTGAGGACAGTCTATTCCACTGAAATTCTGTAACGAGTTAAAAGGCATTTTTTTGGAAGAAATGGGAATTAAATTAAAAATTCGGGCAATATGTTAAATTGGCTAGAAGTATGGTAGTTTCCCGAAAGCTACTGAGGCCCAATTATAATACGGCGCCATTAGGTCCCTTCAAGAGTTTCCCCAAGTTGATAACAGAGTCTTCCATCTTCATACGCATATAAAATCATTTCGTCTCAGGTAAGGATACTTCCATACTAAACCTAGCCAGACTTGTCGAGATCACTTTCGCGAATGATATGAAAATACTCTGTACTTTATCGTGCATTACTAATGCACGATAAAGTACAGAGTATTTTCAATGCAGCATTAGTATGGTTATCAGCAATCGTTGAATATCCTCATAAAAAGCCCATACCATAAATCAAACAATTCGAGATCAGTTCCTTCCCGTCGAAGGTCTAGTTGCCATTCCGATAACTGTAAACACAAGACGCCGGGAAAATGCAGAAACGACGCGCAAGAGGTAGCAGGAATAAAACAGGGAGTCAATTTAACAGATACGAGGCTAAAGTAACAACGAACTCATGAGAGTGAATACTGTCTATTCGCTGATAATAACGACGATTCCGATTGCTGATCCTAAATAGGAAAATAAACATTTATTCACATCAGATTGCTGACCTTCAAAACCTTGTCAAGCTCGAGGCTATCAGCTACTGCATGACAAAACTCATATGTTCCCAACATGATAGCGCAGCCAGGGATAACCTACCCAACCTAATTTGTATCTTACGTAGAGTGACCTAAGATACCTTCAAGAGTCGAGGTCCAAGACCAACAGTGAATCCTCGAAGACGATACTCTTCGAAAATCGCCATCATCGCTGATCCAGTAGTGTGAATTCTAATGGGAAACATCAATAACCCTCCTACCGTTAAAAGCGCGCGCCCAGACGATCGATTACAAAGATACCCTCCTCTCCCTACGGCGAGCTTCTCATAAAATTGGCGATCGTCGTATAAAAAGATGCCGATTGACAACACGTCCATGAGGATCGAGTCACCGACCAGCTCGTTCCCACGCTACACAGAGCGACTCTTTCAATTCGAATAATCGATCATCTGGGCGCGCGCTAAATGTGTACTCACCGCTTAGCCACGTTAGTGTGGTGTCCACTACTACTACTAGTAGGACGAGTCGCTGTTTGTAATTGAGTTTTGACCATATCAAAGGGGTGCGTCGCAGCAGCCGCGATAGTTCCGCAGACCGCACCATTTAGGAAGGAGAATCCGAAGGTTTCCATCCAAGTTACGGGAACGTTAGTCTGAGGAGAGAAAAAACACTTCTCGTAACGCGTAAGAATATCAAGTTCATTATTATCATGGAGTTTTACGTCAAGTGGCGTAATACTATATATAAAAACCCCGATATTCAGCAGTAGTCGTGAAATATATTTTTCACTAGTGTTTTTTATATCACTAGGGTGGTGAAATTCCAACATATATAGCATTATGACAATGATTATATATAATACAACCACTCAAAGCCATTATGCAGTAGAGTATGATATGGAAGCTTGAACTCATTCGAGATGATTGAGCGCATGAAAGTGGCCATTTATTAATATCAATGCGAGCGTGTGTGATAAGCGATTTTCCAACAACTAATGCGATTCAGCAGATGACCGAACTATCATCAAATTCTTCCTCGGAAATATGAAAAATACAAAAGCTATATTGGAGTTTCACAACCCGTTTTACGTAAAGTGGCGTAAAACTCGGTGAAAAACGCGATATTTGCGGTGATATGCAGTAGTCGTGAAATATATTGTTTTTCACTAGTGTTTTTCATATCACTAGAGTGGTGAAACTCCGATAAATAGCAACAATAATATATCGTATGCGGTTCGAGAAGAAATACGTAATTATCATACGTATAAGAGCACTCGAGGCCTAATATAGTATTATATTAAAAATGAGCAAACTCACGATGAATCACCAGGCTGTGATTCTTATATTATTGGAGTTTCACCACCCTAGTGATATGAAAAACACTAGTGAAAAAAACATATTTTACATGCAAACCCGTGATGAAAAAGATCATGTGTTATATATGAACTTAGGCGTAATTCAATAGTATTTCCAGTCCACCTATTCACATTGAATATTACATCACTTCGCGAAAACATGCGAGACTTCAATATTTTCGCAGTTATCGTTATATATTTATAACGTAATAATATCACCTGTAATATAATTATAAATATACACTATATGATAAAAATAATATAACCATATTTTTCCTATAATTTAACATAAATCCAACCATAACGATTCATCCTCCCCAAAAACGATCGTCTACTATTTCTTATATACCATGACAATACCTCAGCTTGTTTTTCAGCTAATTCCAGTAGTTCCTCATCATTAGCACTGCGCGCTGCGCCTCGTCGTTCCACGTGGTCCGGCAAGAATATTTTTTTATTGTACTCGTATAGCGACCAGTAGATTGCGGAAAATGGTAAATCACTGACACGGAAAAATATACAAGGATTTTTCCAACAATTTTTTCGGCGTTTTTTCGGATTATAATCAAAAATATTCACATATTTTTACGAAATGTTATAACCGCACGTTTGTACGCTCATTTTGAATTCATCATTTGAGGAAAATCGCTCAGATTTTTACAGTAAAAATTACAATTAGGAAGTGAGTAGTTACATTATGGCGCAAAATATTCTTAATACTGGTCAACTTCAAGTGGTCAATATTAATAATGACAGTATACAGTAACAGTATAATGTAAATATTAATAGTGATCAACGTGATAATGACAATCACTCGTTATACTCCATATCGCATATGAAGTTTGAGCAAACGTCACTAATATTAATAAATTATTCTTACGAAAACACATATTTTTTCGACCATGAAATTACTCAAAAAACAGCAAATATGATGAAGACTGTCATCATCGTAGGCGTTGAGTTTACATATTTCTATTCTGGCAAAAGCTGGCTCAATTCCTGCAGTATTACGGTGAAAATCGGTGAAAACTCAGAGTATTGTGCGCCAACCCAACCACAGAAAGCGATCACACTGAATGGAGTTTCGCCCGTTTTGTGTAAAGTTACGTAAACCCGATGTTCGCGGTGATATGCAGTAGTCGCAAAATTTTACTAGTGTTTTTCATATCGCAGGTGAAACTCCAATAGAAGAGTCGTGCGGCAGTCCAAAGACCTTTTAGTCTGAATATTACAACTACGTCTGTCCAGACTGAAGATTTTTGCGGGACAGAATGATTAGTAATAGTGAAATAGCCGGGATGGAACCCGAGACCTCCGGGTTGCCAACAACGCGCATTACGGGTATACCAAATATACATGATATAACTTCGTGTTCTGTACGAATAGACAAACTAACTAACGTATCACATGGTATGATTAACATCCCGGGTGGAGCCGAATCCATTGAAAAGTTTAAAATATTTTTTATATTATCCACCGTGAAAATTGGCAGAATATTACCGAACCAATGTGGGTAGCAAACCTCGCCAAAAACTAGAAAAAGAATCTTCGCGTAAAACTCGCTTCACAGTGGCCATTGCTCCCTCCCCCATACCGGTGGTGGCTTGTACACGCGTACGGAGGAATTCCACTGAAAGTGATACCATCCTTCCTCCAACTCACGATGGGAGTCGAGACTCACAAGGAGAGAATATGGTAACTGCAGTAGCTCTTGCTGCGGCACTCGCGATTCCATCTGGAACTCGTTCACGCCAGTGTTCATACAGAACGAAAAATACCTAAGAAGAGTATCTTAGGTTCCCGCATGGAAGATTCAAAACAGGTCCGCTTGGAGAACAAAAGTTTGAATCGGATATGTTTACCCAATTAGATGGTATTTGATATACTAGACTGGTCATAGTTCCGTTCCACAGAGCTCGCCAACCATAAGCGTCTTTAATGTGTCGCATCACCTGCAGGCCACTTGTATTGATCCGTTGATGATTCAAAGCTGGTGAAGCCTAAGGGGAAGGATATCTTAGGTTGGGTGCAGAAAGATTCAAATTAGGTCCGATACCTGCCAATAGTTCTTGACCACATCAAAGGGAGTGCATACTGCAGTAACAGCGACCGAGCCCATAGTAGAGGCCACCAAGGTGTACCGTAACGTCGCCTTCTCGCCGCTCGAGGCTGCCATCAATCAAACTTAAGGCTCGCAGTACTAGTAACAATAAACTTGGATAAAATGCCCTTCGAACCTACGACAAGCAATATCGATTAGAATGGCGTGCGCTAAGTTTGTTTAGATTGTGCAGATATCTGAGCGAGGCCATTTCCGTTCTGTGGGGGCGTATCTTAGGTTACTCTAAGTAAGATACGGAATAGGTACGCTAATATACCATGTTGTGCATGCGTGCATGGAATTCTCGTAGAATTTCATGCGATTGTTCACTTCTTTTTAAGTGACCTTTTAACGCAATGAGACAGTCAGTCTCGTTTCTTGTTAGAACCTATTCGTCGTTTGTTCAGCAGCCACTTCCTGTTATTCGATATTCTACAGTACTCACCCACGCCCAATTGTCAGAGTAGATGATACTCTCTTGAGAGGCCTTCAATGCAACACTTCGTTGAAATACTAACACAACAACTGTGGTTCACGCTTAGAGCTTCGTCATCTGCGCTTATCACAGTTCAGGTCAACCACTGTAACCATATAACTTTTTTGCTTCCCCTCATGTTATACTCAGTAGAGTTTCCCTTTTTAATAAGGCCAACCAGATGGCTAATTTTCAGTGTTGCACTTCTATCCTCCGCTCAACTGTATGAATGCTTCTCCTTCTCGATCAGGCACACCCAATGATGATGCGTCTACCAGAGTCGGGTCTCTCTACTTTGCATCGTCATTGCTACGCTGACTCTCCCTAGTGCTTCCGTTTATGGTCCCGTCATTCAAGTGTGTCTGATTGTCTACTCTAATGCTATGGCTTACTATTACTAATCCCCTCTTTTCCCGCTCATGGGTGGTTGATTCTCGCGTTGTTAATGAGGCTGTCATCTTGGCGTTACATTTGTGTATAGGTGTTATCTTCTCTAGCATGATGATCATCTACTGGCTACCCTGTCTCATCACGCTTGTTTCTATTCGTCACGCTCACTCTAGCGGTCCACCCCCTAACCAATATGACGATGTAGATCTTGGTGAAGTTCAAATGCGGCACCCCGGAAAGGCCTCACGCGATCATCCTGAGTATGGGGGTAAGAAAACGCGGAGGTCATGGCGATCAGTTCTCAATCGATTGAGTGGTAAACGAAGTAGCAAGGAAGTGCCAAATGAAGGTCACGACGCGGCCGTCCGTCGTATTTCTGACAGACTCTCCGCTACTAGTCTGAGCCGAGGTGTCGACTCGGGGAATGAAGGCATCGCTGGTGACGGGAAAAAGGCGAGATTCTCAAAGTTGAAAGGGTTTTTCAACAGCAAGGGGTCTCGGAAGAGTGGTGAGCTATTTGATCAATCCTCGTCCACCACTGAGCATTCCCGTGATGCTCCTCCACCTACCCTTCGTTCTAGTCTGCCACATATGGTCACTACGGAGGAGTTGCAGAGAGGCCTTTCGACTCTAAATGAGGTTTCTGCTGAATCCACGATGGACTGGGATGCTGCGGATCGCACAACTCAAGGGATGGGTGATTCTCATGCCGATCTTCCTGCGGATGTCTATTGCAACTATCATAGTGGCCATGCTCTTTGTCTTGCAAAAATCCCGGACTCTGATTTTGTTGATATATTCCACCACAACTTCGCAAAGAAGAGTACTAAGTCCTGCGGAGTGTCCACTTTCCCGAGTTTCGAACCAGATGGTGAAGCCATATCGAGGTTACCAGGAGAGAACGAAAAGGCTTGGGAGAAAGCGATGAAGCAATTAAAGGGGAAGAAGAGTTGGCAAGCTCCAGGCGACCAAGAGTTGTTGAACCAATTTAGACATCTAATATTCCACACTTGTGACATTGAAATAGAAGGGACATCTTTTGGCGTCACGGCTCTCTACATTAAACCTGTGGAAGATCAGAAGCTCAGCGTGGCCTTCTTCACCGAACCGGAGAAGGTTGCTGTTGTTTGGGAATTTGAAAGGCATGAACTTGTCGTCCCGGGCCATCAGAGAACTTACATTAGTATGGACCCGCCGTTCGAGGTTGAACTCGCACACAAACGGGCGAAGGTTACGGTAGCTGGAGAGCGAATCCAAGGCGTAGTTTTTACTCGTAAAAACATCTTCACGATTCCGGGAGAATCTTATAGATCGAAGAATCAGATATTATGCTTTAGATTTTCATGGACTACGGAAGCAATTGCTGTCATGAAGTACGGGGAAAAATGGGCATTTATGATGAGCGAGAAGGAGACTACATGAATCTGTCCTACTGCTAGTAGAACCAATCTTATTGTGTATGATGATGTTGATGTTCAACCAATCGTATTTGAGTTTGAGATTATCTCAATAGATTTTCTTTTCACGTAACGGTCCATAGGGAGGCCACAGGATATCCTTAACTGCCTCCATTTGGGAGTATTTTGAAAAATTCTATTCAACTTGATGTGGAAGAGCAACGCTGATTTCGAATGAATAATCCGTCATCGACTCGTCCTCTAATCGCGGCAGTGATAAACTTGCGAGATTTAAAGAATCAAACTGGGAACACTGAACAACGTGAGAAGTTCAATCAGAAGAAAGATCTATCATCTCAATTCACAATAGGCTGAGAAGAACATTATCACATACAATACATTGGTCACCTCATCATCACTTATATCATCGTATTAACAAGGAAGCTAGGCTAGGGCTAAGCACAGCTTGTAGGATATTGTGCAATAGGGAGGATTGTGAAAAGAGGGGAGAAAGGTCTTAACCATTACCTCACTCGTCACACCTCGAGTCGCAGGGAAAGTTCATATTCGTAACCCCCTGCTGCACTAGCCTGATTACTCAGAGGTGCTACGCTTTAGAGTTAGCGCTACTGATTTTCCAAGGCCGAGCAAACATCATTAAACCAATAGTAGCAGCATAATATTGCTAACCGTTAGAAGTACTGTATTAATTTCGGGAGGAGACAGCACATCCAACACTAGCGTGCTTGACCACATTAGGAATAGCACGCTAAGAAAGGCTAGATCTCAACTCTAGCTTCTCTTCTTCCAACGTAGTCAATAAATCACAGGTTGAGGAGCACTCACCATAGAAGGCTGTAGTGAACTCCCTCCGACAAGGATACCGTAATCCGTGATCTTCTTGTGTCATTTTCTGAGCTAGGCTGTGCATTTGTCTCTCCTCGCTAGATAATGTCATTTTAGTGTATTACGATACTGTGGTGTATATTTGAGCATCAGGTCAGTATTTCTTCCTATATCCTTGTTACCGGCTTAAGCATTTGGTTTTGTTAAGTCAAGAGGGAGATCACAACAGACACGACTTCAACTTTCAGCGGCTCGTTATAATCGGTTATTAACTCAGTTGCAATGTTCCAATTGATGATGATATCATCATTATTCATTGAGTAACGATTCACGTATTTGTACGGCAGGTCGAATTCTTAGTATATATAAATATGAGCTTCGTTGAGATGATCCAGCGGAACTAAAGTGATCATACTAATACGTATGATATTGTTTCAAACATTTGACTGAGGAGAATAATCGTCTATGGTTGAGGCAGCCAAACGAATACTCCAAACTGACCTATGATCTCTTCAATCGATCATTAGCTATGAACTATATCTTCTCGCGAGGTCCCCATCTTGTATTCGAAGCATCACAGTTGGGGAGTAATTACTGCTTGCATCGTCCATCAGTCCTTACAACCCCACAACTACTGCTCAGTCCAAATAGAACTCTGAATATCTTGTCGCGAGGAGGTATATCGCAAGGCGACGGGCACACACACGAATCTTGTGATATAGTGACAAGAAAAAGACTAAGAGGTTTGGTTGAACTAAGTCAGTGGAGATCATCCTCCCTACTCAGCGATGAGCGATAAGGACACCAGTGTGTGTTACAGGGGATTGGAATGAAAATGACGGTACCCGAGTATCCTCCAATTGAATTGTGAAGGACTGACCTACTGAAAACACAGCACTCGTGATGATGAGGAAATTTTGCGAGAGAAAGCGCTCATCATCTTATCGAAGCAAAACAAAACTAGCAGTGTGTACTCCAGAGAAGGGTGATTGCGAGTAACCCTCTGGGAATCGCATCCTGACTAGGGGGTCGATCCACGGCCACTATCATTGAGAATGTGTCAAATGCCAGAGAACATGGGAAGTCCCCCAACGTCGTTATTTGCCACTCATGATGACGATTAACGAGAAACCAATGAAACTTTAATGATTAAGTAGAGCACAGAGACAACAGCTGAGAGACATCTATGAACCCCGGGAGGGCCTGAGAAGACAACCATTACGTCCACCTGAATTGCTCTTCGAAATCCTCATTTTGGCGGGCACCGTGTGGCAGGGGAAGCCACTTCGGGCAAGACGCGACACGGAAGTATTTGTCACAAACTGTGGCGCAGCTGACGATAAGATGGACATCCGCACGAATGAGAATTTCCCTGACGATTTGGTGAATGCCGGAGACACTCATACGCATTCTTTCCCAGTTGTGTCCACTGCCTCCCCATGCTGCTGCTTCCAGTTTATCTCCTAATTTGTATCTATAGTGACAAGGATAGGCTAGTTCGAGGAGCTTTCGGAGGAAGCGAGGACAGCGCTCTCCACGACAGCGCCAACAAAGGCCAGGCAGACGGTGAATCGCCTTTCGTCCGTGCTTACAGTTTATCTCCGGGCAAGGTTGTCAAGGGTGGCCGCCGTAAAGTGAACGAGAAGGAGAGTCAATCATCATCGCCATTATCAACGTCTCAACCAGCTGGCATGTTTATCAGAGGGTTTATGCGTCGATCTCTTGAAAGAATAAAACCATCCGTTGCTCGGCCTAGAGCGGCTTCGACTAACGATGTGACCGACGGCAAATCTGTGGCGGTTTCGAAGGAGAAGAAGAAAAGGCTTTCATCTGTTAAAGAAATCAAAGACATCTTGGACTGCGACAGGCCGGCTGACGTTTATTGTCGCTTTCATGACTCTGAGTCCGTCCTAT